GTGCTGCCCTTCCTTTCAACGCACGGCCCTGCAGCCTCCGTAAAACACGGAAAAAAGTACGAGCCACCTCTGTCTCAGCCAATAGCACTGTCAAGGAGGTAGCAACGACTGATACTGATCTGAAGAGCTCCATCAGCGTAAAGGCCATCGTTAGGGTCAAAAGAACAATTGGAGCTTTCCTTACACATATAGGTATCGACAAGGGGCTTGATGACATAAAGGACTTGCTTGGAAAAACGCTGCTAATAGAACTCGTTAGCTCTGAGCTCGACCCAAGTAAGTATATATAACAGAAAAAAATTGAAAAATGTTTTTTTTTTTCCTTTTTTTTTTCAAACAGAGAACTTCCAAAAAGCTGGGAGGTCTTAATTGGATAAAAATGGTTTTTTGGTCATATTATAATTTGTGGTTTTTGTCAATTACAGAGACAGGGTTAGAGAAGAGTACGATTGAAGCCTTTGCGCACCGAGTTGGGAAGGAAAATGATGATGTAAAGTACGAAGCAGACTTTGAAGTTCCATTAGATTTTGGTAAAGTAGGAGCTGTTTTCGTGGAGAATGAGCACCGCAAGGAGATGTTTTTGGATGACATAGTTATAGATGGCTTCCCTCAGGGCCCTGTTACCATCAGCTGTGGCTCCTGGGTTCATTCCAAGCACGATAATCCACACAAAAGAGCCTTTTTTGCCAACAAGGTAAAATAGAGTACCTTTTTTTATTTATTTTTTATTTTTTTTATTTTTCAGGTTGAACGGTATAGTAGTAATAAAAAATAATTGATATACAATCAATTTAATATATTTTTATTTTATTTTAATTATTAAAATATAATAAAAGTATGATCAATATATTCAATACTTTCATTTTCTATATATGATTATACATTTAAATTTATCTATTTTTTATTTTAGACAAAAAAAATATTTTTTAATAAATTTGTTAGGTAATATATTGAATTGGGGCGTTTGCTATTCAGTATCCATTAATAATATAGTCTAAATAGTCAAAATATTAATATTGTTTTTCGAATGGTTAAGGATTCAATTAATGCACCTCTTAGCTACTAAGTTATATCGTAAAAATAAAGTTTGATTTCTGTTTTAATAACTAACTAATTAAATTAGCATACATAATATTGATGTTAAAACTAAAAAAAACACTGATTAATATATTTTTTGATTTAATATATTACACAATATGGAGATTAAAAAAATTATTATTTTTAATTTAAAATTAAATATAGATAAATTTAAAAATGTAATCATACATATAAAATGTAAAAGCTAATTAAATTTATTGTATTATTATATTTTAATAATTGAACAAAGTAGATGTCGAACAGTGTATCAAAGTGAAAGATGTACTAATAATTTTTCTTAAAACTAATATCACCGTTTTTTTTTCAATATAATTTAATAACCATAAGGCATATTAAACACACTGTTAAAAAAATCTTTAATAAAATACTCTTAATGAAAGTGTTCTCTATATATATTTATTAAAAAAA